TATTTTATTTACAAATCATTTTCATTTTAAGAATGCGCAAATATTTAAATAAATAAATCTATCTTAAAGATGAATATTTTATAAACTCTACCTATTATCTGAAATACCATCAACAAAAAGCCCGTTTTATTTTCTTTTCCAAAGGAATTTTACTAAAATATTTTTTACTTCTTTACAAAAATATCAAGTTCGTGTTTAATGCTCAACAAAAGAGCAAAATACTCATTTGTTAAATAATGATAAAAATAAACTAAGACAATTTATTGACATCAATCGTGTATTTTTAATACTGTTGAAAATGAAATACAAACAAAATGTTTTTTCTCTAACAACATGAAAGGGATTCAAATTGCAGGAGAAAATCATGCGTTTAGCATATCAAAAGGTGAAAAAGGTGAACAAATTGTGAGCTCTTTGTACCGCATCAAATTAAAAAGTCTTTCACATGCGTTCAAACGCATGTGGAAGCACTTCAAGAGCATTGATTAATTAAAAATCATTTGACTAAAAAGCTTGAGGCGAGCAATGCCAGAAATTTGCTGGAAAACTTAAAGATGTTTGGCAAGCTCTTAGACATTTGCATGTGCCGCGTGTGCTGAATGTGCTCTGTGCCTCCTGTGCCTCGGGTGTCTCCTCTGCCTCCTGTCTGTGCTCTGTGCGTGTGTCGCGTGTTTTGCTTGTTATATTCGGCCTAATTGTTAGTTTATTGCTGGCTTGTGTGCAAAGTAATGGCCCCAAATGAACCTGGGCCCAGGCCTCCTTGTCCAGGCATCAGTTCCAGCTCCAGCTCTAGTTTCCGCTCCAGCTCCAGCTGCAGATCTAGGGCCACGCATAAACATGCTGCCTGATGGGGCACCAGTGGGCGCATACTTGACGCACTCAGGCACGCCTTTTCAGCAATTGAAATGGTCCAGTGAATGGGGTGAATGGCTTGCGTGTCGCATCTATAATTAAGTGAATATACTGTGTGTGTGTGTGTGTGGGCGCATGGACGGACATAAGCAGATATTTTATGCTGGCTGCCTGGCATTCGGTTGAAATATGCCGACAACAAATATTTTGGAAGCGCCAGCCTGTCCAGCCCTGCCCAAGCCTCCACAGCCCTGGGTGTGGTCGCACTACCAAAGGACATTTTGCCATTGGAAATTTAATGTCCAGCACTGAAACTGATATGCACTACATCCGAAATCCAACACGTACTATATATAGTATATAATTACTAAATGGGCCTTTAGCCGATAACTATCAAGTGCTGAGGCTGAGGCAACTCAAGAGGCTTTTATAGTCTTATCTTACTCATTATGAAGTCCTTAAGATGTGAGTGAGTAAAAGTTTATGCGTTTCAAAGAGTTGAAAGTGCGCCGCCATAAAACGTTTACGAACTACACCACAAAGGGAATGATAGTGAAACTTAAAGTCCGCTACATATGCATTGAGTCATTAAATATTTAAGTATGCGAAACAAAGGCAGTGCAATTACACAGCAACCGCAGAGCTCAGAGTACAGAGTTGCCCCCTAATGCGAGAGAGAGAGAGAGAGAGAGAGAGAGAGAGAGAAGGTTCTACTAGTAACACTACTGTGGTTAATTACACAGTCAAATACACGCTCAATGGCAGTGTCTATATGGGTTCGATTGCATTGACTAATTGGCATTTCTAGTTCGGCACACAATTTCCGCCATGTGCGGCACTTCAAAGAACATAACAAATGCCTTTTGGGGCCGCCTTCACACATTCACACAATTCTATGAATAGGTGTATAAGAAAAGGCCAATTAAATTAAATTGCCTGCTCTGCAGAAAGACAGACAGAGAGAGAGAAACAGAGAGAGAGAGAGAGAGAGAGAGAGAGAGAGAGAGAGACCTATATTATTGTCATAATTTATGGATTCATCTAATTACCAATAAAGCATCAAATGTATGTAGTCCATATGCACGAGTCAATTCATTTCCAGTGTGAACTTGTTCGTTCATAAGCGTCTCTTGACTCTTGACTTCTATATGATATAACAAAAGCGCTCTGGGGGTGCACTTCCCGAAGTAAATCGCCTGGGGCATTCCTTTAGTGTTTCTGCTGACTTCCCGACTCATTAGGAGCTGAGTTTAAGCATGCTCTCTATGCTGCAGAAGGATCTATTAGTGCTCAACCGACTGACTAAAACAGCTGCATAAGCTCGAACATAAACACACACATACACACACACACACCCACAGCTACTGCAATGTTCATAAAGCTGTCTGCTCTCTCTCTCTCTCTCTCTCCCTCTCACACACAACAACAATAAATTAGACTAAAACATCCGCAGTGTATGTTTTTAGCTGCGATTTGTTGTCGTGAGCAAAACTCAGACACTTGCCTGCTCACTCACTCCTATACGAGTATAGTCAGCTCCCTCTCTCTCTCTCTCTCTCTCTCTTTCTCGTGTTGTATGCGGCTCGTATCCTGAGGCGAAACGAAATAATTAATAAACTTGCCGTTAACACAATTTCAACTTTAATACATTTTGCAGTTACTTGCGGGCCATAAGAATATAATTTCTCAGCCCACACTCCGCCCGGCTTAGCCCGGTCTCAGGTCTGTGCGATGGCAATTTATGGAACTGCTAAAGCAGCTGCATTGCTTCATAAATATGGCAAAAATCATGGCAGCTTGGTGAGGTCAATGATACAATAATGTGTCGCCAGCCCGCCGACACTTGATAAATGCGGGCTTAAGTGATAATTATGAGCAGGGGACAGCTAAGGCCGAGCTCATGGTTAAGCCATTAAAATGCTTAATAGCCATGTTCCTAAGTAGTGGACAGCTCAAGGGTTTCTCTGGGGGAATATATAAATATAAATGTGTATAATTTATAAATATAAATTAATTGA